GTGATCATTGTGTATTAAACACAACCGTGTACATGCGTCCCTTAAAACGCCCACTTACACAAGCTCATATCCCAGACTGGACAACTATCCGCACCACTCTACCTATTGTAGACCCTATCCAGTCGGGATACGACACCTGGTCTAAATCACTGACGTCTACACTGAAACAACATCAACGGCTGATACAGCTCACGGAAACTCAAACGGACGTGGACAACCACCTCCTCCATCTTTGGCAGGCCCGCCGCAGCCTCACCAAACGATGGAAAAAACAGAAACATAACAGACGCCTCAAGAAACGCATCCTAGAACTCACGGAGCAAGCTGCGGAATACGCTGCTCAGCTAGCCGACACTAACTGGGTGGACAGGTGCAACACGGCTGCACGCCAGATGTCTGGTCGCAACACGTGGCGCCTGTTTCGCGCTCTCATCGATCCAACACAAACACGCACGGAAACTCAACGTCACTTACATAAGGTCATGCACAACTTTACAGGAACGACAACACAGCTGGCAAACACGCTCAGGGACCGAACCCGGTGCACCACCAAGGACCCCCGGACGGCCGCATACTCCTACGCAGGCAAAAAAAACACGCAGTTGGACACCCCGTTCCAGCTCCACGACCTCCAGCCGGCCTTACGCAAGATGAAGCGTGGCACTGCACCAGGGCGTGACCAGGTTACGGTCAAACTGTTGGCCAATCTTTCCGACGCAGCTTACGCCACGCTCCTCAAGTACATCAATAGCATTTGGGACGGAGAAACTCCTCTCCCTCTTGAATGAAAATCAGCTCTCGTGACCTTCATCCCGAAGGCAGGTAAACCTATTGACGTGGAGAACCTTTGCCCCATCTCCCTCACGTCTTGTGTCAGCAAGCTGATGGAAACGATGGTGCGCGACAGACTCTCCGAGTTTCTAGAAACACAGCGCACTTTTGCGGACACCATGTTTGGATTCCGCCCTCAGAAGTCAGCCCAGGATATACTTCTACAGCTCCACCATGACATATTAGATCCTGTTGAATGCCCCCACAATGACAAGGTAGTCCTGGCCTTGGATCTTAAAGGGGCATTCGACAACGTAAAGCATGAGGTAATCCTTGACCACCTCAGTCAGACCAACTGTGGTTGTAAAACATTCAAATATGTTAGACAGTTTCTTACAGACCGTCAAGCCTACATACGCATACAAGATGAGGAACATGGGCCTTACGTCATCGGCTCGAGGGGAACTCCTCATGGCGCGGTTCTCTCTCCCCTCCTATTTAATATAGCCATGCTTCATCTTCCCCCCAAATTGGCTTCTCTACCAGGGATACATCACGCTCTTTACGCGGATGATATCACGATCTGGGCCACGCAAGGTAACCTGGGTCACATGGAGTCATGCCTGCAAGCAGCAGCGACTGTAGTCAACGACTACGCAACCTACTGCGGACTCCAGTGTGCCCCGGCTAAGTCAGAATTTGTGCACGTACGTCCCTCCCCTCAGGACACAACTCAGCTCCATGTCAGTCTTCCCTCGGGACCGATCCGTGGGGCCAAGGAGATCCGCGTCCTTGGCCTCTTCATAAACCACCAACGCAAGGCCGACACCACAATAGCCAAACTTCGCACCGTGGGAGACCAGGTGGGCCGTATGGTCCGCCGGGTCTCCAACAAGCGGGGCGGATTACGAAGCAGGGATGCAATGCGGCTTGCCCATGCTTTCGTAACGAGTAGAATACTCTACTCGACTCCCTACTTGCACCTACGCAAACACGAGGATGATCAACTCGATGTCATCCACCGTAAAGTTATCAAGCGGGCTCTCGACCTCCCTATCACCACGTCCAACCAGAGACTTCTGGCCCTAGGCGTGGTGAATACCTACCGGGAACTTCGAGAAGCCCACCTCGTTAACCAATACACGCGCCTTGCACAGACCCATTCCGGTCGCCGCCTCTTGGACCGAATACACATCAAACACGATTACTATATCGAGGAAAGGGTGAGAGTGCCAGAACCTTGGAGACGCGCCCTCCGGGTCCGACCCCTTCCCCGCAACATGTCCAAAGAAAACCACAGTGGTCGCCGCCAGGCGCGCGCGGAAGCGTTGCAGCGACACTTTGGTCAAGAGGAACACGTGTGCTACGTGGACGTTGCCGGCCCGCACCATGGGGGGTGGTATACTGCCGCAGTCATACACAACGCAAACACCGTAAACGGGCTCACTTTCAAAGCCTACAGCGCAACACACGCGGAGGAGATTGCCATCGCTCTGGCTCTCACCTATCCCTCTTCTAAACATATCATCACCGACTCACGAGGGGCCTGTCGGAACTATCAGCTAGGGTGGGCTTCACCGCTTGCTCAGCGTATACTGGAACCTAGCTGCCAATACGTTAATCCAACTCCGCGAAATCTGGTTTGGGCACCCGGTCACCAAGGACTTAGGGGTAACGAACAGGCCGATCAGGCCGCCCGCGCACTCTCTTCCCGGGCTATCTCCCTGTCTTTGGAAGCCTACTCGCAATCAGACAATTCGGCCCTTTCATTCAAAGATATTACCAATTACTACAAGGAGGAGCACCGGCGCTATCCAGACCCTTGTAAGGGACTGCATCGCGCTGACGAGCGCCTCCTTTTAAAACTGTTTACCAATATTGTACTGTGCCCGGCGGTGCTAAAACATTTCAATTCATCCTTTGATGGCACGTGCCAGTTCTGTGGTGAGGTGGCTGACACCTTTCACATCGTCTGGGCGTGCCAGTCTAATCCATCTATCCCCCCGAACCCCAATCCCACGAGAGAGGACTGGGAGGCGGCCCTGCTCGGCTGACAAAACCTGAAGGCCCAAGAGGCTCTGGTTCAACGGGCGCGGGTGGCGTTGCTTGCCAATGGAGCCCCAGAATAGGGGTTCCACCTAGTGCTGTGAGGGTAGGAGGCCAATAAGGCCCCAACCCAATCACCTCTCTGTAACCATTTAATGGTTATTAAATGTTTCACCACCACCACCACCTTCCAGCACCCGCATCGACGCCCGTTTCAACTGGGTGAATGCCGTGCGCACCACTGCTGCTTCACATCTCATCAGGGTTCCTTTCGGGAGGTGGTCTACAGTTTTTTTTCTTTGAAATCTGTTAGTATATATTTTGCAGCGTCATATCTATGACGAAAATACGTCAGCGGAGTTGTGGTGGACCCCGGCATAAAACACTTTAGTGTCAAAACGTCGGTCGCGTATCTGCGCGCTTCGTTGCAAATGTCCTCGAAAGACGATGGTCTTCTGTATGGAGGCACTGCGTGAGATATGGACGCCATATGGCAGTAATATCGGGAAACGAAAGCTTGTGTAGAACGCATAGCCACTGGTAGGTGGCAGCACTGTCATCGTAGTGAAGCGTAGCAAACAGCCGCTTTTCTCATTCAGAGCATCACTTTGCCAGCGCAGCGTAAGAAACACTACAATCTTTGAAATTACGTTTCTATTCATTTTTAAAAGAAACACACTACCTAATATGTACGTATTGATGTTGCGCGTCATATATGTGCAATATTTGCTTTTTAATTTAATCTAGAATGTTCACAAGTGTGAACGCAACCACCAGATCAACATGGCTGGCGTTGATCAAGGGCTCAAACTTTCGCAGGGTGGCTAAATCGTGCGACAGACAGACAAATCAATTTTTTTTTCTTGAAGTATCCCGAGAAAGTCTATCATCACTTAACCAAAAAACAAAGAGGGAATATGCGGAAATTAACAGAAGTTAGCAAGTTCTTATAAATCAGCTGGCTACCCTGCTGTGTGTAAGGAAGGAAAAGACGAATGAAATAGAACAGAGGAAAAACGCTAAGAAACTAAAAAAATGCAGCAGAAAAAAAAACAAGAAAAGAATAGGGGTACTGTTGAAGGTTATTCTTTATGCCTAATTGTTTTTTAAAGTACGCAACAATGCTTTCAACGCCTTCCATGCCCAGGACGATCTCGGCGAGTGTCCCAGACTTATTTCTTCTTACAAAGGACGATTATCATGCGCGAACTTCCTCTAACAACTACTTTCCATAACCGCGCCATCAATGACCCTAATGTCTGGATAATTTACCCTTAACTTTGCTTGGAGTTCATGGTATTAAGTAGTAGAACAAAAATTTCGGCTAGTTGGAACGCTCGCATGATTGACGCAGTGCTAGAGACGAAGGCGAAATAAATGCAAATAGCACAGTACGGGCGCTGTATTAAGGGGGCCCTGCAACACTTTTTGAGCATGGTCAGAAAACGCTGCGGGTCGGTAGCAGAGGCTCCCGAGAACACGCAGGGCAAATACTATAGTGCAGCACGCGGCCTGGGATTCGCAATAAATTCTAAAAGTCCGCTAAAAATTGCTTTCTTTTCTCTCGACAAGTGACGGAACAAGCCCAAAAATTACTCGCTACAGCCGTTCTATCAGCCATTGGCTGCTTTGAGCGTGGCGCACTCGGTCGTTAAAGGGGCCACAGCGGGACGCCGCAATTTGTCCGCACGTGCGAGCGCGATTGTACTGAAAAGCTACGTATTCGAAAAAAAATAATAAAAAGGGCTGAAAGTCATGAGGCACATATGACGTTTTTTTTTTTATGTCCGTGTCATCATTCTCTGTTTAACTTCCAGTGCTTTTGTCGGGACAAGAAAAGAAAATGCAATTGCAGCGTGCGACAATCAGAACTCCACTCATACAGGACAGATTCTAGAACTCTTTTGCGGCGGCGAAATCGTAAGGCCATAAGGTTCTTCTGAATCCATTCCATGGCTGCTTGAAAAAGTGTTGCAGGGCCCCTTTAAGGCGCTCGAGTGGCGTGTATATACTGCTAGCGGATGTCTAGTGAAGACGACTAATGTAAACATGCTCAACTGAACCAAACTGAAACTGTGTATAAATTGACACGAGGCCACCTATATTATGCGACACGAAGGAGTCTACACCATTCTAAATGGCGACGGGGGTATGCGTGTGTCTCTGCTCTACGTGTGGCGCAGTTCGCTCTGTTCCGGGGCAAGGAAGTAGAGGCGGACGCTGAGGAACGCAACTGCCGCGAACGCAAGGCGTCTACCGCGGTGCCGGCGGTCACCGGCACCATCAAGAACAAGTGGCTCAAGGCATTCCGAAGCCTCAAGACCAGCAGCGGGGCCTCGGACAAGTACGCGCGCCATTTTGAACACTTTGCGCCTGCACGCCTCCGCGTAAGAATGTGCGAGTCACTCACTGCCCACTTGACCAGCGCCGCATCTGGAGGCGCTGCTGGTCACGCGCGCCATCAAAACGCCTACAAAGAAAGCTTGTCACTACTTTTTCTTGGCACTTAGGAGGCAGGTACTAACCCCGCTCACATGTGCTGCTTTACTCTTCCTGCTTCCTTTACGACAGTTTTCTTCGAGAGACCATAAGGTCAAGTTGCGCACTTATAACATGGACAAGAGGGATAGGAAGGACGCGTCATTCGCTACTCCTTCAGGAAAATCTTCTACTCCCTCCAGGAGAGCTTTGTCTAGAAAAGCTTTCTACTTCCTTTAGAACAACTTCCTCTTGGACAGCTTCCCTCGAGTAAGCTCGATACTTCCTTTCAGGACAACTTCCTCTACGACAGCTTCCTTTTACGGGAAAGCTTTCTACTTCATCTAGGACAGCTTCCTCCAGAAGAGATTTGTACTTCCCTGAGACAACTTCCTTTAAGACAGCTCAGAATAAGCTTTCATGATTCATCACCAGAAAGTCCTGCTGCTGACTGTGACTTGCTGCACTTTGTAACAAGGGCTTTTGTGGTGTACGGGCATTGCGTTTCTTGTCGTGTCCTGTCACATCGCAAAAGTTTGTCATTTCTCTTAGGATGGTTACATATCATGCTTAATATATCTTCGTAACAGAATAGTTTAACTTAAAGAGCAACACAATTTTCGCTTCAAACATGCAATCGCATTACGCTTTTTTCTACTATTCTCTGCGCAGGCCTGATGGGTCAGACCGGAAAGGAAGTCATGCTGCTGGTGGCCCTGGTGGCGCAGGTAAGCATCGCCGCTTGTGAAGTCGTTATACACTAAAACATCGATATAACGAAACCGGATACACTGATATATTGGTCATAACGAAGTAAGTTAAGAACAGTCCCGTAATATACATAGTGTTAGGAATATACCTTTATATAGAAAATTTTCGGATATTGCAAGCTTATTTTTGTATAAGATGCAAATTTGTTATATAGCGAAGTTTGAGTGTATGTTTAATGAAAGAATGGCGTTTCACGTTACTTTGTAAATCGCAGTTACATAATTTTTACATGTAAGTATTTTATGCGCGATATGCACAAGATACTGGCACTCTCATGTAACAACACTTGCTCCTTTTTACACAAGACAGTTACGCAGCTGGAATGAACAGGCAAGGGATTATTCTGAACTATAAAAAGATAGTACGAAACAATCGCATCAATCACACTGAAGTCAGTTCACATGAAGTTCACCAAAGACACTTCAGAAGCAGGTCATATAAAACACAGAATTTTAAGAACGAAGCTTTTAAATCTTGAGGCAAAACGTCGGGTGTCCACAAAAACAATAAAAAATAAAAAAACAACGCACCGTTGCTTATCAGGCGTGCCCACTGACGGGGACTGTCCAATCGGCTGCCGCACCGAGTTTGCCGGCGTGGGGCGAGCAGAGTACGAGTGACGAAAGGCCCGCGCTTCTTCCACGGGTTACCACAGGCAGCAGTGCACGTTAACCCTGGTGCTGGAGTTTTGACAATCTTGCATAATTTGTGACAGTCCTTACTTTGTCCTCACTTTGTCCAGACCTTACTTCGCCCAGACCTTACTTCGTCCAGACCTAACTTCGTCCAGTCGAGAAGGACGCGTTGATCTCCTAGAATCGACCGTCTTCGTCGTTTCCTAAACTTTTGCACGGCTAGTGTAAACATCTCCCCCTGTTTTTGTGTGAATGACAGAAAACATTTAAGAAAATAACTAGCGTCAGAGAAACGCGCGAAACATCAAACATGAAAAGAAACAGATGAATAAAGCAAACAGACTGCAAAAATATAACGACTTGTACTCAATTTTCGGCAGGAATAAAGCATAATTTTTAGACATTTCGCCCGCAACGTGTTAAACCACGTTCCGAAAGACCACATGAAGTTCATCTATTCATCCATCTCTAGGGGCACTACGCACACCTTTTACAAGACGAATCTATGAAAATTTGAAGTGGCATCATGTATCCCATTGCCTTTTTTTAGTTTATTGTGCGTTTAGAACATGTGTGTCTATTGTCAATGTGCACCTCAGTACATAACACAGCCTCAACAAGCCTCGCTTGGACCATAAAATCCGTGGGCCGATGGCCCCAAAAAATGTTTCGACATTGGTAGTTACGTTCTGCACATCGCTTGATTCACCGCCTAGTCACACCCGATTCAACCCCAAGGCTGCTCCAACGGGCTTCAGAGCCAACTTGTGGAATAAAACGACATAGTAAATGTTGGAGGTATCGTTAATAGTGCAGTAATTTGCATTATCCCACAGGGCTGCTAAAACTTGACCTATCGGCTCCACTGGCCAACATGGCGGAAATGAATGATATATTATTCATTGACATGTAAAAGTTGGAGGTATTTTGAATAGCACCGAGTCTGCGCGTCGCGTAATGCCTCGTCGACCTCGTCTTTATGTACATTGTGTGTGTGTGATGGGGGGGGGCGTGAGTGTTTGTGTGGGGGGGGCGTGTGTGTGGTGGGGGGGCGTGTGTGTGTGTGGTGGGGGGGCGTGTGTGTGTGTGGTGGGGGGCGTGTGTGTGTGTGGTGGGGGGGCGTGTGTGTGTGTGGTGGTGGGGGGGCGTGAGTGTGTGTGTGGTGGGGGGGCGTGTGTGTGTGTGGTGGGGGGGGGCGTGTGTGTGTGTGGTGGGGGGCGTGTGTGTGTGTGTGGTGGGGGGCGTGTGTGTGTGTGGTGAGGGGGCGTGAGTGTGTGTGTGGTGGGGGGCGTGTGTGTGGGGGGGCGCGTGTGTGTGTGGTGGGAAGGGGCGTGTGTGTGTGTGTGGTGTGTGTGTGTGGGGGGGCGTGTGTGTGTGTGGTGGGGGGCGTGTGTGTGTGGTGGGGGGCGTGTGTGTGTGGTGGGGGGGGCGTGTGTGCGGGCGTGTGTGTAGGCGTGTGTGTGGGCGTGTGTGAGGGCGTGTGTGTAGGCGTGTGTGTGGGCGTGTGTGTGTGGGCGTGTGTGTGTTTCACTGCACCTAGTCCACCGGCGTTCCGCAGGTGTGTCTTGGGACACGGGTCAGCACGTGTTCCAGGAGTACACGTACAAGAAGGTGACTGCGTGCGACGTGTGCCGCGAGATTCTGCGCGGACACGTGCGCCAGGGGCTCAAGTGCAAGCTGTGCAAGTTCAACGTGCACGCGGAGTGCCAAGACAAGGCCAGTCGGTGCCAGGTAAGAAAGCAATCGCTATAAATCCTCCCAAACCGCAATGTCAAATCGGCGTATTTGTCGGTATAGAAAACTTCCACCGTAGCCAGTAACGTGTCTTTTCCTAGCCTTGCCTCCTTTCTAGCCTTGCGTCCTTGCCTCCTTTCATTTGTCAGTACCGAATACATTATGCAGCTGCACTCAACAAGCTTCAGGAAGTGCGTAGCAGCGATTTGCGCGCCCTCTGATTACATTGACGTTCACACACGTGCACGCAAGTGTTAAGAACACAGGCGCACTTGTGTTCTAAACGTGCATCCTGCTCGGTGTCCACGGCGGGAAAGAAAGCCTCTATTTGTGATGGCGTGGCGCCATTTCCCCTCCTTCTTTCCTCTCCTTTCCCACTTCCTTCTTATACTTCAACATGCGCTATTGATTGCCCTTCTCGTCATCCCTCATCTTCATATCTCTCAGTCTCACCATCACTTTCCCTTCGCACCCCTTACTATACTGTACTATGGATACGCTATACTATACGTGGCTATTCTATGCTTTACCATTTTTTCTCCCTCTCACTATACTACACGATGCAAAATATAGTGGGGTATACTTTCTTTGGCTTGAATGCCTGCAAGTTCTTGGTGAAGTTGTGTCTAAGAAAAAAAAACGAATCCTTAAATTCCCCTTCATTTCTTGTACGTGGACATTCTATACTTGACCTTTTCCCCTCCTTACTTATTTCCTCCTCATCCTCACTTTTTTCTATGAGTGCCTATGCTATACAAGAAGGAGACCTTTTAAAAGGTCGTTTCTTTTGTTAGACAAAATACTAATCAGATCTAACTGAAAATCATCCATAGAAAAGTACAGGATATGTTGTGCAAAGTAATTGTAATATAAATGTGAAGAAACAAAAGCGGATGAAAAGATAACTTTCCGTGGGCAGGGACCGAACGTGCAACCTTCGAATGATGCGTCCGATGCTCTACCAACATAGCTCAAAGACATATTGTGGTTGCCACAATATGTCCTCGAGGCCAATAGGAGAGTATGTGTGTTTCGGAAAAGTCGTGAACGATTTAGAGTGCTTGATACCCTACAATGAGAGAGCGGAAAGCCGTGCCGCAGTGACAAATATTAGCATAAAAGTAATCTGTTTAGAAAAAGGTGACAATTTAAAGTACTCGGTACTCTACTATGGGGGAGCTGAAAGACGTCCCATGGTCCTTACATCTAATGAGGCTGCACTGGCAAAAATTATAGACGGAGTGGTTTGCTATAAGAACAACAACGTTTTGTGTTCAGAAAAAGCTGTTAACAATTCAGAGTGTTGGTGCCCTGCTGTGGGAGAGTGAAAAGTTGTGTTTAGGAAAAGTTGTTAACGATTTTGAGAACCAACGGGACAGCGTTACCGCCATGGAGCTGTGTAGGCCGGTATAGAGGCGTTGATTGTTATAGCTGCTAATAGCCATGAACATTTGCCTTCTGCACAATTAAGACAGGTACCGAAACCTCTGAAATGGCACTAGGTACAATCACAACTCATTTATTTTTTACGCCTATTACTATACTAAAGAGCAACATTTTGTTGCAGAAATCTAATATCACCTTGAAGAAGAATGGCTATTTGGGCTAGTTGGTTTAAATTCATGGTGATAAGGGCTGCAGCGCGAGCACGAATGTGCTAGAAGAAACAAACGAAAGTCGAGGCACGACGGAAGTCGAGGCAGCGCTCGTGTTGTCCTCTTTGCTTTTCGTGCCTCGACTTTCGTCTGTTTCTTCTAGCACATTCGTGCTCGCGCTGCAGCCCTTATCACCACTGATATCACATCTCTCACAACCTAAATGTTTAAACCAAACAACCCAGCTAGAACATAATAACAATCTCGAGACGACACTTGTATGCTTATGTGCCAACACGTTACGTGGAAAGCGCTTCAAAGGATGTCTGGATGTTCCGAAGTGATTCAGAGGCAGCGCTGTGCAGTCTTTTGATAAGATTGTCAGAGCAGATTCTTACCAACATAAGCAAGCGCAAAAGAGGGGGGTACAGAGGGGGGGGGGGTAGAGGAAGGACGCAAAGTCAGCCCCATACATTGACATAATTTGGAGGGTAGGGGGGCGCTGCGACGGACTTTCATCCCCCATGAAGGGAAATCTCTTAAAGATTTGGCGAGTTGATTTGTCGCACATGAATTGGTATAGCTTGAACGGAAAAGAAGAAATGACCCAGCAGACCGGCACAAGAAGACTGCACACGCCAACGCTAACCAACATAAGGATTCATCTATGACACGTCGATTGAGCCACTTAAGTTAACTGGTGGGCGACACCGGCTAATATGCGAAGTCAGCCTCTCTTTAAGCAGGTCGTCACATTCTGTGTTAGCCCTCACTTGCGGCGCTTATGACTTTTTATGGTTACATCGTAGTTCGCTATAATCATATTACTGTATTGTTTCTGTTACTTGCTACTACATGATAATAATAATTCAGTGTATCTGAGGTTTTACATCTCTCAATCGCTAAGTGGGGATGGAAGACGCCGCAGCGGAGGGCTCCGCCAATTTCGACCTTGTGGCGTTTAACATGCACTGACGTCACACAGCACACAGGAGACCTAGCATTTGGTTCCACTCAAATGGGACCACCGCAGCCAGCATCGAGTCCTCGCGTTTTCAGGTCGGCAGCCTTTAGAGAAGACCGCGACATCGACGCGGTGGACAGAGCGTTGATACTTTCCACAACTGCAAGACACATGACAGCAGTACGCATTTCAGAAAGCTGTGGAAATGATTCCTCAAAATTTCTTGGCGCTGCATACCTTGCTTATAGTCCGCTGTGGTGGCACAGTGGCTCTCGGCTGCTGACCAGAAAGACGCCAGTTCAATCCCCGCCACGTTTGTCGCATTTTCATGGAGGGGAAATGCAAGACTCCCTGCACTGTGCATGTCAGTACACGTTAAGAAGGTCCCCAGGTAACTGAAATTATTCGTGGTCTCTCATCAAAGCGTGCCTCCTAACCATATCGTGGTTTTGGTACGTCAAACACCATAACCCACTAATATTACCAATCGTGAACGACCCCCCATTGATTGTGTTGGTCTAAAGCTTTCGTCCATAGTCACGTACAAAGAATCATTTCATGCAAATAAAGTTAACCCCTACGGCCCTTAAACGTATTTTAGTATGTACTCATAGTGTACTTGCATTTTTCACTGCTTTGTAATATGCAAATGACCACATATAACGTCATATTTTCCCCGCCGCAGCCCAAGCCCAGACTTCTTCGAAGACAGCGGTCAGCGTCCGAAATTGAGACAAAGATAATCCCAGCTGAACCAGAGGAAGAAAGTAAGCTACAGCTTTCTTTTTTCTTTGTTTTTCGCGCATGCGCGCAGATCAAAACATGCCGCTTATAAATGTTTTCATTTTTTTATGCCGGCTAAACACCACATCTGCTATCAAGTCAACTCGTCAAGCTCGATATTTCTGTACCGTATTACTTAATTGTAGTAACTTATTTTGGGGCACATTTATTGCGCAATGACACCTATTTCCTGCATAAATCCTACCTATTTCCTGACATGTTTTAATATAAACCTACGCGTCTGTGGGACACAACTGTCACTTATGAAAACCTTTATTCACAGGACTTTCTAACCAACGTTTCATTTATAATCATGCATTGTTTATTATTACCCGTGTCTGTTATCTTAGTTCACAAGTTTTTTTTATTTTTTAGTTGTTTATTTATGGGAAATAGCCACTTTTATCAACCCCTAAAAGTCACATGAAAACCTGCCTTTAGGTTGTCTCCTTCTGTATACTTAAATGCCTAACAGAAAAGCACGCTTTACAAAACCAAGTTTGCAATGAACGCGTCACGTTATAAAGGCGAAAGCCTTAGAATCTTCCTCATACGCGAAAAGTGACCGTCAGCGTCCACACGATGTGGTCCTACAAGTCACCAGACCACAAACGTAACAGATTCAAAACTTCGGACGCCATCACGACGTCACATTATGACGTCATGACGTAGTCACTTGGTTAAAAATAAGCAGGTCACGGAGACAATGCAGCACCACCCGAGGTGCACAAAGCTTCACGAAAGGTATGGTGGGGATCAGTACAATCAATTAAGAAAAAAATGAAACAATAAGGCAACTTGCACCTTCAACTTGCAACTTTCTACCAACTGTCCCAAGTTGAAGTATTGCTAAAGGTCATCCAAAATCCCACCGTTCCCCGCAGAGACGCCCAGCGCGACGCCGGACTGCAGTGGACCCCATCTACCAGCTGCTGAAGCAGGCGGGCGACCTGGGCGGATCGTCCCGCCGGGAGCGCGGAGGAGGCGACACCCCCTCGGCGCTGTCCCGGCTCGTACCGGGCGCCGACCGGGACGGCGGAGGTAGCAGTAGCGTCTCGTCCAGCGCGGCGTCACTGCAACAGCGCCGGCCCCGCTCGAACGCATCGTCCTCGGCCTCTTCCTCGTCCTCGCACATGCTCTCCGTCTCCTCGCATCAGCACCATCCGTCGTCCTCTGGTAAGCGGAGACGCATCGTCCTCCAGCAGGCGGGGAACGCGATAGTCTTCAATACTGATCAGAAAAGTACTGCTCATTCAAGTTCCGGACGGTTCGTTCAGTCACTCGTTAAGCGTTAGCCGTTAGTGTATATCGCTATGGTTCTCTCTTCCGCTGCGCCTCGCTGATCTTAAACGTTCTTGAGTACTGGTGCTGATAAAAAGCCACTGAACAAAAAAAATTGTCGCTTTAATAAACCTTCAACAAGGCGCTTAACTTTAAAGGGCAAATTTACCGTGAGACATAGAAGAATGCCTCACAGACCAAGCGCTAAACATGAAGCGCTGATAAATCCTCCCTCCATTGTGTGCATCCTTTCGATGTATAGTAGTTTGTTTTCACATTAAACCAAAGCAGTTGACAGTCATCGCTAGCCCTGCGTCGACATGTGCGTCTTCCCTATTACGTTCTTTACCTATGGATGCGTACTAGCTGGCTCTATTTCAGACGCCATCAGGTCATCGAACAAAACATGTCACTAGGGCCAATGTTTCCACGCAGGTGGCTTGTCCATACAAGTCAGCTTTATAGGAACGCCGGCTATAGTGAAGATCGGGGTTCAAAGGTTTCTCGTCAGTTCACGTTTCTATCTTCCTCTGAACTACTTTATCGCCGTGAAGAAAGTATTAACTCGACACAAGTCCGAAGAGAAAGAAATCGAAACACGCTCTTTCCTGTACCTCTACTTTTCTTCGACCTGTGTTGCACTATTACGGTTTGCACAGTATAAACTGACTAGTCCCAACAACATGTCCTCATTAACCTCTTTTCCCGTTGAGTGAAGCGCTGGTAGCGCCTTCTGTCAACAGCGGAAGTAGTTCGCACGACGCTTTTTGAAGCGAAGGTTCAAGTTTTCAATGAGATAGCAATTATTCTTCAGAAGATGACTACGGAGAAACGAGCAGTTTCCTTTGATGAAATCTTAGAATAGAGCTAAGGGTACTGTCTTCTCGAAGTCGGAGACTTCGCCAGGAATACAATGAAGTCCATTGAGCCTTGCCTTATACCGTACAAATACAGTGTGCCGCTTTTGACATTAGGTCAGGCTAAGCCCAAAGCCAGTGATGTAGTGAAGCCGGTTAACGTCTTCAGGATTTATAGTAGTTCTTATCAAAATGGACAGCATAGTCGAAGCAATAGCAGCCTCGACTAGGTGTCAATGTTTCGTCGAGAAGCATCTGCTTTCTCAGAACTTGTATTCACCCTCTCAAATAGAAGTCTTGTTGCTCGAACGCTAGCTCGTAGCTGTGGCTCTCCTGGCTTGCCATGTGTTTATCAATTCAAATGTTCATATCGATGCGACCCCTCTGTTATCTTTAGTAGTCTCATGCGGTTGGAGCGGTATTGGTATTCTCAAAATGTAGCCTTAGTTGGGTGTGTGACATATACAGCTGTATAGTATAAAAATTAGAAGCGCGATGAAACACCCAACAAAAAGTTCAAGCCTTGCTTGATGGTTTGGCCGATCAAAGTTTATTGACACATTATTCCTGTATTCGGATGTCGAAAAATGTGTCCCCCTGTTACTTAAAACTGCGTGGAATATAGCTCAAATCAACTCACCTGCTAGACGTTCTGTCAGTTTCAGTGCGCCACAGGCTTTACTGAATCGTTCACGATCGGCATCTACTTTATTCTGACTTCATTCTGAAAAAAAAAACTACCTTAAGAATGTGTAAGCTCCTTTTTCTGTAACTTGAAATCCTTAAGTTACATTAACTTTTCATTGCCGGTAATCTGAGAGTGATTATCCGTAGGTTTATATTAAAACAAAATAATATGCCAATGACGAAGGTTAAACTTCAGTGGTTCTTAAAAGATTACTTCTCAGCGAAGATAAAAGCCAATATAACATATCAATGTGTTTTATTGTACAAAACTAAAGGAGAAGTTTACTCGGCTCTCATGATCGCTCTGTTTACCAGAAGCACGGATTTTGAAGTTAAGTGTGCCTCTTTGCATAGAATGTGATCGGGCTAAAGAAACTTTAGCCTATTCTTTAACATTCATGAGTTCCGGCTGTTTTTTTTTTTGCTTCTATTTAAAGGCCAGGCAAAAATTATCGAGTATGTACCTTGCTTGAAGGCACTTAGTATGTAATCCTTTATGCGTAAGACAACTTGCGTTCAGCCTAGTTTCTTTTTCGTTCTTTAAATCTTTTTTTTACAACAACTGAGACTATGAATACACCCCTCCTAATACTCCCGCCTTTCATAGCAATACCATTTTAGTCACAGCTGCTGCTAAAAATGTATTCTTTGCTTCTCGTCCCTTTAATATGTGCCGGTGACGATAATCAAGGTCCCACTGTTCACAGATCCCGCAAAATCCTGAGTCTTAAAGACTGCTGATGTTCCCGTTAACGTATTCATCACTCTTTGTGCACACATTGTCGTAGTTCTTGCGTTATTTGTTTATTCTAATCACGTGACTTGTGTGACTTGTACTCCCAGTCTGTGTCGCTGTGCACCACCATCCACATTCGCACATTCATGCTCGAGCTGCTGAAACTGCGTTGCCGGGAAAAATTGTGCCTGAACGGCACTACAACTGAATCTCCTGCGTACCTAGTACTAGCCCTTTTTTTAACAACGGACGAACTTCGTTATATACATCACTATCAATATATCTTATCAAGTTCGCAACACTCGTTCATTCAGCGTGCCTCTCCAAATCGTTATGTTGAAGACGCTTCGTAACTAACACATCCTTGAGTTAATTTGCTAGGCGCAAGTTCCGTCACATAAAAACGTGTACGAATTGCACCTTCAAGTTCAACACAATCAAAATGCTGTCAAAGAGTCTGAACAATCTGATTGATTGATATGCGGGATTTAACGTCCCAAAACCACTATATGATTATGAGAGACGCCGTAGTGGAGGGCTCCGGAAATTTCGACCACCTGGGGTTCTTTAAGGTGCACCCAAATCTGAGCACACGGGCCTACGACATTTCCGCCTCCATAGGAAATGCAGCCGCCGCAACCGAGATTCGAACCCGCGACCTGCGGGTCAGCAGCCGAGTACTTTAGCCACTAGACCACCACGGAGGGGCAGAGTCTGCACAATCTCACGAATATTGAAGATGAGACAAAATCACATGAAGCGATATTTTCATTGAACTTTACTGGTGAATGGATCTGTAATCTGTACGAATTGATTCCGTTTACTTTTGAATCTCTGGTCATACACTACAATAAACGAGCAATGTCAGTGTTTTAATGCGATATACTTCGGTGACTTTTTCACAAGTCTGCCTGCTGTTCACTGAGCTATCAATAAACTATCCCACAACTGATGAAGTTATCACAGCGACATTTTTCTTAGTATATTAGCAAAAAAAGTTCTGGCAGAGTTTAATCGCAAACTTCATCGCGAACCCATAGTGTTTGACAAGATTTTTCAGTGAATGTCCAAGCGCAGAGGCGTGGTTCAGTGGCTCAAGCAATGCATTCGGTGTGTTCTCCTTGTCGCCTGTGACGTGGTGTTTCGCACATGCCCATCACCCTCTAACAGTCCTGTTCTGGTGTCTTGAAGTGCACACAGTGTTTGTTTTGCGAATCTGCCGGCTCCCTGCATGCTCTGAAAGTGTGTTTGGTTATGAAGGAGTCACGTATTGTCTCTTCTGCTTGAACATTTACACTATTTGAGACCGTATATGTAAAAAGTCAAGCCTGACACAAAGCAATATAAACTAATCTGTTGTTACAATAAATTGGTCACTTGGCTTGCACACGGACTGCGTAAAATTTGTATTAACTAAAAGTCTTTATCACAAGTATACACTTCTCTGACCAATGTACTACAAAAATCTGGTCCAAGTGTTCAGTTATAAATGGGACTGTTTTCTCTCATGCAATGTCACGCGTAATTCTGACGCCCTCTTTGGCTATGTTTCTTTTGTAAAATGTCCGAAAAGTTCGTAAGACGTTAATTTAAACAGAGTAACAAAATGCTTTCCTCTTTCCTTGCTCAAATCAACGATATTTGTTTGTGCGGTGCATGGTTACTTCGTACGCATGTTTCGTTTGCTGGCAGCGAGGGGCAACCGGCATTCATGCTTAAACACTTTCGCTTTAAGCGTACAAATTACCAACAGGTCTGAGAAAAAGGCCTTACAGCAGTAAAGTGTTCCTGTGCTAGAATGATTCCGATTAGTGTTTTTTAAACGGAGGCACTTAGTTTGGCAACTCATTCTTTCATACTCAGCTTGATACAGTTACTACCACACGCTGCCAAGCAAACGGACATGTGTGAAACCACGGTGCACAAAGTACGAACCGATTTTGACGTTAATATTTGCTTCAACGTTGGCTTCATTAAACAGACACGAGCTGTGCATGTAGAGAACACAAGTTGAGTGATTCGGTACTGAAACTTGGGAACTATTACACGAGGCGCGAACGGACAAGGAGCAGCGCATGAAACGCGATCCCCTAGCGTGAATTAGCGAGACGCATCACGCTCGACGTCACAGTGCAAAGAAGCAACTCAGAGCTAGCCTGCGCGGGTATAAGCGTTGTATCATACTGAGAGAACTTCCATACCTTATTTAAAGCAGATCGGCACGTAGGAGCATAAACACAGCCAAGGACAGGAGTAGCTCTATCGCATGATCCACTTTTGTTGCTTTCCCATAACACTTTCTAAGGGGTCGCTCTTAGAAAGTGTTATGGAAGAGGAGGCAATTACCTCCATTTTCTCCTGAGCTTTACGTGGGCGTTAAAAAAATAATAACCTGTGGGAATAAGAAAAGGGCAAAGTAGAGAGTAAAAAGGGCGTTACGACAACAGAAAGGTATTAATCTGTATTCGCAAACGTATATGTACACAAAGAAAAGAAGGAAAACGGGCAGGTAAGAACGTGAGCGCACGCATGTAAAATTTAACGGTTGAACGTATTGCATTGCACGAAAATAAGATTTTTGAGAATAAATTTAAACTATATACTTATGGAGAGCAATGTGCTCTTCCGTTACGTCAAACATAAAGCATAGTGTTGTTCAACGTGCACGGTATTCTACCCACAACAATGAATAGGGGGTTGGGGGTGGCAGTGGATGAAGCGCTCACCTCCCCCAAAATTAGGACGGAGTGGAATTTTTTTACCAAGGAAGAATTAAAAAAATAATAATTATTGTTTTTTTCAAGGCCTTCAAGAATATTCCCTTCTCGCCCGAAAAACATTCCTGGCTACAATCTCCTCTTTCCCTTACGTCAAAAGTCCAGACCAGCTGTACGAAGGCGTTCATTGTGCTGTATGTATCCTTGTGTCCTGGCGCGCTTTGTCTAACGGTTCCCAAGTCCGTAGTCGGTGTACAAGGGGTGCATCTGGTGTCACGCCGGCAAGACGCACCAAATCACTAACACACGCCTGCGCATCGTGCTTCCCGCTTGTGTGACCTTTTGTCTCTTGTGTCTCGTGCCTTCTCTGTCTCTTCCTTTTTCTCTCTCTTTTTCTCTCTCCCTCTCTACGTCCCCCTTTCCTTTCCTTTCACGTCGTCGTCGTCATCGTCTTCCGATCGGTGAGGCTACCGCGCCCCACGACGCAAGAAGGTTTCTAAGCCTATAAAGTCGGGCCCCAAGAAGTCTTCGAGCGCGGAAGGAGTAGGTTAAGCTCGTCGGCAGCCTTCTTCCGTGAAACAGTCGACTCCGTCCTCTTCCCCAGTTTTTGAGTAAGAACGAAAAAAAAAAGCAATGACACAGTCCGTATTCGCTGTCGTAGTGCCCGTAGAGTGCAAAAAGTAGTCGGCGCTCCAGCCTCCTTCTCTAGAAACTGCCCCTTTTTTCTGTGTGCTCTGTTACTTTCACTTTTCTTTTTTTTTTTGCGTTGCCGGTGTCTCGAGTTGCGTACCTAAGAGTGGCTAAATCTTACGGCACAGGGTGATCGGAATAAAAACGCGCAGGCTTGAATTTGTGAGTAGTTCTCGAACAAGGATTGTCCCTAGAGCCACGATTTCGACCTACACTTTTTGATCCAAGTACTTAGCGTCATCACACGCACTGTTCTATACGTTCACGGCGGTTCACATAGCAACCAATCATCTACTAGACAGAATTATGTTATCGAATTTATGTCATGATAAATTTGAAATGTATGACCATTACATGTAACAGTTGATCGTTCGATTTGAGCACTGCGTTTCTGAATTGCCCGGGAAATCATACACTGCAACGTTTTCGCCCATTTTCTTAAAGCCATGCTTATTATTAATGCAATGCTCAGGAATCTGTCAGGCAGTGCTCTTTTGTTTGCGAGTTCTAGTAAGCTAGTAACAAAATATCACTTTTTTTTAAATAGGTTTTCAAGTAGCGTGATCTCACGAGTACCAGTAGAACTAATTCTTTTCACGGGATCATGTGGCGAAAAGAATTGTTATTCATTAACACCATTCCCTCGTTAACATATCCTGAAGCACTTTAAATAGTAATGCAAGAACGAGTAACGTTTCATGTTAGCGCTTGTCACACACAGCGATTGATATTAGTAACACTCAAAGCGGGAAAAGAGGTAGCAGCTCCTCGACATAAAAAGTTATCATTTTCCTTCACCATACAAGTAATAAAAAGCGTTATCAGTATTATCAGTCCTGCCACTCTTCTTGCACAATTCTTGAGCTTTTTTTTTCATTCATTCTGCTCTTTTTTGCTTGCTAAGAGTAGTCATAGAATAGATCGTCGCTTCTAGGCATCATCATTGCTTTCGCCGTTGTGACTCTGCCTATAGTGTCCATGCTTAGACAAGGGTAGTTATGTGTTCTCTCTATACTGCTGAACTGGCTAACCTCCCTGTCCTTCCTCATTTATTCCTCCTCCTCTATACTGCTTGTGCTTACGTTAAGAGTCCAAATGTCGTGAGGAAGGCACCGTTCTTGCAAGCGGACGGGAGTGTGGTCAGATGCTTACGACCCAACCCATGCGTACGATACGTTAGTGAACAAAACAGTGAGAACCATTCGTTTTGCCAATTCTGCCTCTTTCTTTTGACTCTTTCTCTGCACCCGCCATCCCTGTTTGTGTGCGAGACCTCTCTCCCTGACGTCATTTGCACGAGCATGAGTGGTGGATGCTGCGATGTCTGTAGAATGTTGTGCATGCTTGGATGTTTGCTGTTTGACGATTTCATCTTGTTAACGCGATTTCGATTATTCGCTTCAGCGATAAGAGCTAATATTGTTTGTCGTGTTCATAACTTAGAACAGTACTAATTTGTCATAGCAGTTTAACGTTGTTAATGCGTCCAGTGTTACCCAGCTGTGTTTTGACAAAGACGTAGACGTAATAATTACCTATACTGTCGAGTTTATTCTTCAATGTTTTTTTTTTTTGCTTTGATCGAAATTTCTAGCTCTACAAGTGTATATGAAGTCGTAAGATACTTTTGTTGATCTTCTGCATATATTTTAAACCGCTAAATATGACTCTCTCAGGGTCACGTTTCTGGAACTATATGAGCTATTCAATGAAGTGCGCAGCATTGAGAAAACGCTAGGCGTTTTTCATTGGAATGTAACCATATTACGGGTCTTAAAGCTACGGTGAATTTTGCACATTTTTTACATATAAATGCAAATCTTCTATTAATAGAGCAAACTAAACCACGCAGAGTCGGTAGCAGCCGCGAATACTACATGTTTTCGCTTCTACAGTTTACATAATGCCTGGGCCACCTGTTTAGACAAAAGATTGCCATCATTTTGTGGCAAGTGAAATATTATTCTGTTAGACTCATCAGAACAACGTAAAATACAAATCTCTGCACAATACTGCGTGATATGTTTCTACGCACACTGCACGTTATGGGAGTACGTGTACATGTCACGTATGAACTACGTAGGAGTCCCATCCCAACAAGTATAGCAAAGAAATGCCAAAAGGCCAATATTCTAAACGAACAGCCTTTCGGAACGTGTTCGGCATTTGTTGTCTTCGGGGATTGTTCGGGGTCGAGAAGCATTTTTTGCAGAATTAATTTAGTGTCCTTGTCATTTTTTTTTTCGTAATTGTACGCGTTACATCAGGATGTTCCCTATAGCATCATTGATGCTGTAACCGATCGTGCACCGATATTCTTACAGTGTCTTGTAGTTTTCTGAAAGGCAAATAAACATCGCATCATAACAATAATAGGTAAGTTGTGACTAAATTTACAGTTACACAAGTTCGCTCCGGAGAGCTGAAAGTCATGTTTGGCGCCGGCTTCTGAAACGCGGTTGTGGGAGGCTTGAATTCCGAAGCAGGAGTGTTCACCAACTGCATTCAAAGTTATTCTTGTGTAGGAATACGCATTTGTTTCACTTCATATTCGCGAAACAACTTGTCGACGCATGTCCAACTTTGAATTTCAGAACCAAATGTAACTCATTCGACAGTGAAGCACGTTTCCTCTTTAAAACGTGATTAAATACAAGCTTGTGAACAGCCTAATACCGTCATTTTGCTTCTGTTTCGTGTTCTCTTTCAGCCCCGTCTTACGCTCCAGAAATTTTAACATTTCATTTCGTCTTTGTACTTTTTTTCTTTCTTTCACGCCCGCCCTTTGCAAAAGCCCGTTGGAGACAGATAGTATCAGGTAGTGTCCGTCCTCGTGTCGTCTGTGACGTCGTGTGTTCGTCACTGTGTCCATGTCCTTGTGCCTGTGAACGCGAGTTTGCAGTCAGTTAACTAAAACGAACACTTCATAGTTTGTCCTGTGCTGACGTTTTTTTTTGTTTTTGTTTTCCCCCTGTCACTGTTTCACAGTTCACTGGCAAGAAACCACAAAGAGCTTATGCATCGTGTTAAACGTTGTTTGTTTGTACCCACAGTATTCTATGGAAACAGAAGAATAGTATCACCGGACACACAGAGAAGATATTTATGAAAGGGACACCACAGGCAAATAACATTTCATGTCGAAATGAAAGGTCAATGGCTTGATTAGCTCTAAAAACCTCAGTGTTATCCACTGAAGCACTTTAGTGATCGAGATGTAAGGTTAGTGTAAGACTACTTGCGCCATCAGTGGGTCTCTTTGGAAGAAAAGCCAGATGACCTAAAATGTTCGCAGTACAAATAATCGCTAACACTTAAACTACGCATGATTGGAAAGAACACCGTAGTGCATTACAAGTCGAATAAAACGTAAATTGTGCGTTCCAGTATGATTAATCTAAAAAAATTGCGTCTTGACGTAATTATTGAGAACGACGCAAGTACCGTTTTCGCTGGCTGTGTGCTGTTGCGCCGCAGCGTCGTTTGTCTGGCAGCAAAAGTTGAAAATTACGAATACTACGTCACAAGGTCATGCTCAGGGGCGGGCGGTTTCAACGGCGCAGACAATATGCAGTATACTGAAACGAAACAAGCACTGCAAGGTTTTTTAAACACTAGTTCAAAAATCCACGTCAATTTATTATTTGCCTGCAGTTTACTTTTCAAATATGCGGAAAGAACAGTACTCGACGTAACAGCAAGACAGGGAAACCAGTGTGGATTATCGATCAAACGGGAGCGCATGATAATGTGTTGGAGATTAAGGGCGAGTTTAAATCAGAACGAGGGGTCAACTCGTTAGCTCATTGTAGAGCAGCCAATTTTAACTGACAAATGTGCAGAAATAGTACTGCAGATTTAATTGCTCTGGGAATGGTCGGACACAAAGCACAGTTGTACATGAAAATCTAAATATATCGTTTGTGCCCTAGATTAAATTCGGCTACTATGAAGGCGACGATCTGAAAGTAGACCGAACGTGTATTAGTGCCTTGAGATCTATGGCAGCTCCGTAATAAATGTAGGTACAGCACTCATAAGTTAAAACGCGACATCGTTTGTTTTTCCTTTTTTTTTTGCATAATAAGTTCGATGATATTCATAACCGCAACATGCCGCTGCTCATGTGGTCAATATTGCACCTCATGTAAGTGTTCGAGTCAAAGTTGCACTGATGTGCCACGAGGTGTAGGCGCCGAAAGCGAAAATACGTGCATTACTAAATCGCAGATTTTCTCGTTTCAATCTGAGTGCTGTACATTTCCTTAAAGTCTCAAGCTATAACGAACCATTGGCTTCTAAACATAACAGTGTAACTCACGACTTATATTATACGACATATCAGTCTTTCAAGGTAAGGTAGATAACATTCGAAGCGACTCGTCGACTACACCCTGGTATTTCAAAATCTTGCCAGGTCTATCTAGTTCTTCGCTCACTTTTCTTTGCAGTTAACTATAGAATGCCTAGCCTTTCTCAAACACTTTAAAGCAACGTTTTACAGAGTTGACACTCAGATATGATAGAAGAATAGTGCCTGTTTTGTTTCCTAAATTCCCATTATTTTTTATCTCAGGTGGCAGAAAGCAAAGCCTATTTATCATTAAAAAATGTTGCGTGTGTCACGCCCTACACACTTCAAAACAGTAGCATTAAGCCCATTCTCTGCGTTTTGTCTTTGAAATAACTACTGCATGCATTCAGATTAGTACGTTAAGTGCAGTTGGCAAATTGCATGCTTTTTCTTTAAAGGTTTGGGTATATGGATGCTCTTAAAGTATAATAAGCTTTTGCGACATTAAACAATCACCGAACCATCGTTAGAGTAACTGTCTCTAAAGCACCAAGGTTCCTAAAATGTGCATTTTTCTCAAGCTAGCTAATACGACCTAACGGTGCCAGATGTCTCCACGGGTATCTTGCAAAGGCGCATATATCAAATTTTACAATGTAAGAAAACAGCTGTATTATGATTGCCATCTTGTTGTGCAGTCATTAGTTGCTATAGTACTTTATCGTTAAATAAAAGCAAAGAAAATCTTGATGATCAAACCACATGTATCGTGCACCCATTTTACGTTCTTCATCTCTTAAATCAGCTCTGTATTTAGAGGTGCCACACCTTATTTGCATATCAAACGCCAAGAAAAGACAATTTATATGTCCAGGACACTATGTTCAACTATGTGTAAAGTCCGCTGAGTATGGGTGTTGTCCGTGTGATTGGTGTATGATTGTTGCAACTGAGCATACGCTGCTGTCTAAGTAGTGCCAGTAGTGCCTGTTAGATTTTAGACAATGTTCGAAGGCGGGACGTATCCCGTGTACTGTCTTGTCTTTCGCTGCAATAACAATGTAGAGCTCGGAAACCGTAGTTCATTTCATCTCTCCACTAGCCATGATGCTGCCTAAAGCTTAATGTAGAGCGTCGCTTGTAAAAGAGACAAGTTTTAGAGACGATGGAGGCTTTAAAAAAACCGGTGATACAAATTCACTAGAGCCAATGTCCCAGAAATCAAGCTTAATTTAACTTCCCATAGCTGAATTCCTCTAAGTTCAGCTATTTTTGCGATGATCTTTAATCTTAAGCAACATCATCTAAGCTTCATAGCTTAAATCCTTGCTGTCATTTTTATGCATTCTATTATCTCTGGAAACAAGTGACCGGCACTATATAACAGCGTTAGTATTTCCTAGTCAACATACAGATAAAAAAATATATACTTCGACCTTCTAGTGGGGCAAGTTTAGCACACAGCTCATTATTACTCACCATAACTTTATCTTGTACTCTAGCCACCTAAAGCTTCACCGAGCAAAGCTTTATCTGCCTTTGCGCCTTGGCAAAACTAAATACATCTGACTCACCCGCAGAGATGAGACAGACGGCATCGAGATAGTCCTGTCTTCGTATCTTCTTGCTGCTAATGGATTGCATATGCAGCTTGCTTCCTGGTAGCTGGCGTAGTGCTAGCAATGTGTACGCAAGCTGGGCAGCTTTTACCCTTTATTCGTTTTTTTTTCTCTTCCTTTTTGCTGTTTGACTATAGCAGAGACAACCTCCTCTCCTTTTTTTCTCTTTTTGCTCTTTTTTTATTCTCTCGGCTGCTTCTGCCTCTCGCCGCCCAAAACGACACCGTTCACACGACGGCCAACAGCACCTCACAGTCCCCAGCGCAAGAAGTTGTCTCTCCGAATGAAGAGCCTCTCCCTGGACAGCCCTGAGTCGAACGATCACGCTCATCGTCGACGACAACTCACAGGTGGACGGGGCGAGAAGCCTTTATCTATATCTATCCATGAACCCTGCGTGTGTCTTCTCTCTAGATCCATCTATCAGTCTATACGCACCCCCTTCTCCTTCCCATGCATTTGATTCCTGATCCTCTGTTCTCCCTTTGTCTGTCAGTGTAAATCTTCCTGTTTGCGTCCTTCAGATTGATTTTTGTGCTTCCATCTGTCATTCTGTACGTCTAAAATCCTCTTTCCTCAAAATCCTCACTATTGTCCCGCCTTTTCGTTACTATTTCCTTTGTGGTTCAACCACTCTGCAGGCTATTGTTGGTTTTGTTACCCAGTCGAAAACGACAGGACGGTGCACAAGAGGCGATGCCACCGTAAACGAGGCGGCGTCTTCTCACAATGACTGCGATTCTCGCTGTGGACACGACAGAACCCGAATTGCCGTTACTGAGAATTTGGTCAAACTTATACCAAAACTGGTTATCGCAGTTACGAAAACAAAATGTCAGTACAAGTACGGCAGGCTATGTGTGCTACAATAATTCGTTGCGTTACAACAAGAAATTTCGCTCCACTTCCTGTAGTCTTAAAAGACATTTCCCGAGACGTGTTTCGACTGGGTGCATGCCAGACTTCTCCTCACCTTACAGTGCCTCGCTCAAGCCTCCCCACTTGTTCCATCTATTCTGCTCTATCTGCACTCTACACCATCACTCTGATTCTCGAGTCACGTGCTCACATTCCCTGCGTTAACATGTCCGCTCTAACGCCGACTACATGTGCATGTTTTTGTTGTTGCCGTTTTTTTTTTTTCATTTTAAGCTCTTGCTATCATTCTCTTTGTGGTTTCCCCGGAATGAAGCAGTTGAGTGAGTGCCCCCACGGCTGATACTCGAAACGTACAGACCCGATCGCTTTTGTGTAGAGCGTAAAGGTATTCGCATATGTTACGCGCACGACTTCACACTGTAGCCGCTTGATTCGAGATTACAAGCCCGTGTTCCATTTCGAGCTGCATTATTACCAGAGCTACGCTTAATTAGCACGCTTGTTATGCCAGAACGAGCTGCCCATTCGCTCTACGCAAAAGTGAACGGAACTCTGTTACCACCAATGCTTTTACGACGGCCGAAATGAGCGCCGCGTTGTACTGACGTCTTCATGCACAACCACACGCGACTTTAGACTCGGGGTTATGAAATGAGCTCGGTAAAGGTGACATCGCAATCGTCAGGCAGCGAATAAAGTAAAGTCGACCTGGCGCCATAAACACCATGCGTTCGTCGCCTGCTGCTATAATTGGACAGAAAATATCGCGAGTAGGCAAAAATTGTACTCTTCTGGTAATGCCTACACTTGTGGTGGAAATCAATGCCGTGTGGGTGCCTTTAGAACGTTCGTATGCAAACACACAGCGGAGAGATAAGGTAATAACGATCGCGATCAGCTATAATCGCTTCTTGACAAAATCCGCATGAATAAAGAAAGAAAAGCTTAACAGAAACCACAGGGTCACTACTGGAACGGATGAAGAACATTCGGGTTTTATTGCTTCGCAATGCAGCCTTTGCCAACTAAGTATACCACTGATTTTGTTTTCTATGCGAGGTAAGCGTGAGCCTCGCAGTAAAAGGCCCGCCGAAGCAAACTCGTTGTACGCACGTAAAGGTTGCAGGCTCGTGACATTGTCTAAAATTTTATTACTAGACAGCTTCCGATCGTTTCCTTCTCCTTTTCTTCCATGTTATCTACTTTATTTTACTTTCTCTGCATGGACTTGTTTTTGCTTGCTTGCAATATAGTGGTCACATTCCAAACTATCGCCAAAGCACTTGGCTCATACGATACGCATCATACGTACACTTTCGACGGCTGCAGAGACTGACAATCTCAGTGAACCGCAACATGATGATGATGATGATGATGATGATTTGTGGGGTTTAACGTCCCAAAACCACCATATGATTATGAGAGACGCCGTAGTGGAGGACTCCGGAAATTTTGACCACCTGGGGTTCTTTAAGGTGCACCCAAATCGTGAACCGCAACATTTCCGAAGGCTCATTCGAAATAAACACGTCGCGGAACCAGCGTAGCTCGCACTTCTCAGCATCCATTGGCTTCAGCGGTCATTGAGAAAACACTCGTGTCACGAGCATGGCTTGCACTCCTCCCTTCAAACAACTACTGTTAGCAGCTCGAGCTTAAATTACGTACACGTGACGCAACATTTTTTCTGTTGCCCGCACCCTTCATCGGTTGCACTAAGTAAACGTCTGCCGAAAACCGGTAGTGCTTCGTGGGCCACATAGATATTACCCCAGTGATGTATATTTTATGAGCTCACTCGCACAGTATGCTTCTTTGGGAGCAAGGGCATTGCTTCGTTTACTGATATTGCGCTTGTGTCATCTGCTCGTGAATAAAGGAACCAACTTAGGCACACGTGTATTTTAAATCGGTGCTGCTGTGTTCGTACACACGATGAATCACCACAACAAACCCGGTGTTTAAACGCACGAGCCTCAACCGCTGCTCTCTCTGTCTGGGCGCCGACGGCGTTGCATGCAGCTCCCCAGAGTCCGGTGCACGGTCGAAGGCAGCTCCTGAGCGCCAAGGCGGTGCGCATGAGTTCGGTCGATCTGCCCGACGACAACGAAAAGTCACTCAGCAGCGCCTCTACCTCGCCCTGCCCATCCCCAGTGAGTTTGACATCTTTATCATTGTGTACTGCACGCAACTGTGCACTTGAAGTCGTTTCTCACATGCTCGCGAATAGCGTATATATTGACCAGAGTATAAAGTTGGGCATGTTGGTAAGACATAGTTGATCGACGTAGCGCGTTTAGAAACATAGGACAAGGGAAGGGACAGAAGGGAGCGCTTACTTCCAACAAAATCTTTATTTCGAGGAGCGTACATATATATGCTCACGAAATTCGAAGACAACAGATAAACAGATGAAAAACCCTCTTAAGCTCTCCCTTCTGTCCTTTCCCTTGTCTTATGTTTCTAAACGCGCTACGTCAATCAACGGCGTATATATACTTTGAAACCAAACAGAGTACTTATCAAACAGAGACAAATGCGAATATATTCGAAGCTAGCATCGAATGAATCGAGTGATTTTCAGACATTAAACAATGTTTTTGCAACAAATATAAAATGGGGCTCGCATAATAGCGTTAATAACTTATGGCGGTAAATATTTATGTAACATGAGGAAGAAAATAAGCAGTTCTGAGGTATAAAGCCTAACTCCGCGAGCGACGTAGCCAGCCAAGTCGCATAGGGCTGTCACACTTTATCGACGTGTTATGCCAGTGGAGATGAAACGCATTGTACTTTTGTGCCAATTTTTTATTATTATTAGGGGGCTGTAGACATTACTAAATATTCGTTGCCTGTTTCGAAGTTATGTATGTATTTACGAGTACCGTCTGTTCGGAGCGAAATTCAATTTTATACACGGCAAAATAGATTGAAACTATCGTAATGCATTGTGAAAAGTTTGACATCTCACACACACCTTAGTGCGAGATTTTTCAAAACGTGGTCATTCAGTACACAGTGTGCAGTTCAGCATTGTACGCCATGCACAGTGTACAAGAAACACTTCGAACTCCAAATTTTCATTTCGCTTATTCGACTAAGCCTCCTCTCTAAGCAACAAAAAAGAAGTCCTTTCACCCCTTTTTTGCGAGCAATAACTTGCCACGTATACGACTCTCTCTCTCTCTCTCTCTCTCTCTCTCTCTCTCTCTCTCTCTCTCTCTCTCTCTCTCTCTCTCTCTCTCTCTCTCTCTCTCTCATTCTCGCACGCACGCTCTCTCTCTTTTCTTTCTCTCTTTCTCTCTCTTTCTTTCTCTCTCACACTCTCTCTCTAAAAAGACACGTGAACTCTTTACAATATCAATATACTCTGGGTGGCGAGTCGTGTATTCAAAATAAGTACAACTTAATCATGTGTAAAAACCTCTTTTCTTATAGTCGGATAGTAACCTTACTCAAGTTTAACTTGTCGCTTTAAAGGGAGTTTAGTACGTGGCAATTATACAAACTCTCCGAAAAGAGTAACATCAGCTCTATTTTTTTCTTAGAGTGTAGAGCTATATCATGCAAAGTATGTTCGTTTTCTTTAAACTTCATAAGTTTAATATAAATTATACATCCTTTAATGTTCCGAGCTTGCCGTAATCGCAGATACTCAGATATTATGGCAGTATAGAATCTCCGCGAACCCGGAGATTCATTTAAGGTTTCTATTTTACCGTGTTGGTTTTTATTCATCTCCAGAACTAAAGGATATAGTTCACCGTGCGTCTGTTTCAGGCAACATAGAGAAAACTGCAAGCCTTACTTCATGTAACATTGTCTGGCTGCACACGAAACGGCTTTATTCTCTCGCATAGTGGAGTAGTACATCGTACTCTAAATCGTCAACAACTTTTTCTACACACACATTTGAGGTGTCATTTGGTATTACACTGTCTTTTCTATACAAGACGATGTCCAATCCGCCCGCGATGTTCATACTCGCTAACGCCTCTACAACAATTCGTTCCGAGAATTTGAAATACCCCGCTAAAGTGGCACACCTCCGCGCCGTGTATTCCGTTAATGTTGCTGTCCCATTTACTGGCTTCGGCACAGAAACCCCATCGCCTGCTACCTACCAACCTCTACGTAGTGCTGTACAACTTCAGGAGTCGACATCAGGACGAGCTCGATCTCAAGTAAGTTTGGATTCGGGTTTCAGTAAGTTCGCTAGTACATTCATGCTGCTGACTCTGCTACGACAGTTTTTTGTTCTTCGTGCAGACAGGATGCTCGCCTGAGTTGCATCGGTGTCATGAGTCTAGAAAACACTAGATCTCAGCCAGTTTGAAATCTACCGGTTATGTCTAACTGTATTCTGATCAAACTGCACAGTAGGTGGCGTCAGTGCGTTTCAAACAGGCCAGATATCTAAATTCGAGGCTCTCCGCCAGAGGAGCGGCAATATTCAGATTTTTCTCGCGTCTCGTGTTCTGTAAACTTTTCACACTCGCTGTACATTCCATGAGGAATTCGGCTGTTTTCACGCAAGAAGAAACAAGCAAAGTCTGATCAGTGAAATGGATTATTTCAATTGATTTACCGGGACAGTTTATTTGAAACAGTTACTGAATTTGTCACTCTTATATATAGTAACCCACGCGAAGTAGACAGGATAAGTCTAACGAGAAAGTGCCTCAGTGGAGCAAATGAATCCAATTGATTTTGGGGGCAGAATGATTGAAACCAGTTACTACTCAATTTGTCAGGCTTATAAAATAGACGACGGGAAGTAGACATAAGAGTTCTGACGGACACTCTCAAAGTATGCAAGTTTGCGTCATACTGCGAAGTTTACATGAAAGACTAAAAAACAATATCACGCCCGTAAATGACCCGTAGTGCGCGGAATAGTGCCTTATTAATAGTTCACTCATGCCAGTTAATTTGTGTGCTTTTCAGGGCTGGTGATACGGTGACTGTGATCGACACCACAGACCCAGATTGGTGGCAGGTGAGCCTCCAATGGCCCGGCTAACCTCCCTGTCTTTCATCCTCCCTTCCTCCGCCTCCTCCTCCTCCCTCCGCCTCCTCCTCCTCCCTTCCGTGCATTCTGATTTTCTACGGAGCACATTTAAGGCGACAGCGTTAAACCACTCTTTTCGCCAAAACTCCAGCGTCGGTGTCGTTGGCAGCGAGCGAAAAATCTGCGTTGTCCGTGAGCAAATATTCGAGGTAGATGCAACTAAAGAAATAATGAAAATACCTTTGGCTCTAGTGAAAATCGAATCCAGCCTTACTTCATGGCGAGCCGGAGTTCTACCACAGAACTACGTACAAGCTCAAAATCGTTTCGAATAAAAAAAAGCACCATACAAATGTCATTCCGTGCGAGAAGTGACTTGTAATGCGTGGCAACAGCGTAGACTCACACCAGGCATCAAAAGATATAAAATGCACGACAAGTGGTTGCATTAAAGGCCCATCAACGAGGAACACGGGCATAATTAGCTGTCATTAACGACATCATCAACGTGCGAAGGTGTGCGTACCGTCTTGCGGACCCGTAGTTAGTGCCCCACCAACTCGCAAAAAGAATGTCATAGGAGGCACCTCGCAGCTGTACTTGCAATTTGCAGCAGACATTACAAGATGCATTGAAAGGGACAATTTATAAAGCACATAGTCTTATAAATTGACCTTTTATAAAGCGCAGAAAACCCCGCCGCAGTGGTCTAGTGGCTAAGGTACTCGGCCGCTGACCCGCAGGTTGCGGGATCGAATCCCGGCTGCGGCGGCTGCATTTTCGATGGAGGCGGAAATGCGGTAGGCTCGTGTGCTCAGATTTGGGTGCACGTCAAAGAACCCCAGGCGGTCGATATTTCCGTAGTCCTCCACTACGGCGTCTCTCATAATCATGTGGTGGTTTTGGCACGTTATACCCCACATATCAATCAATCATAGCAATCATATAAAGCGCAGAGAAGTGCCTTGACTTGCGGCACGGTTTATGTTCCCACCGCGAATCGAGGCCAGGCTAGCAGTTGAAAAGGCGATGTGTACGAGGCCCGATTACACTATGGCATTTTATTTTTGAAGGCGAAACTCAAGTGTACTGCGAGTTTTTTTTTTTTTTTTTGATCAAGATGTTTCTTGCTACGAGGTTCATTGAGCTACTGCGAAACTGTTTAAGCTTGGAGTAGAGCCATTGTCGTCTGCGCAAAGCATGGTGGGTATGCGCCGCAGAAAACGCGTATGGGCCAAGTATTCGAGCATGTCATAGCCGTGCCTGGTATAGTATTTAGTAAGAGGGTGGGAAAGGAAAGTGAGCGTAAGGAAGAGAGACTGCAATATAGAAGAAAGAAAGAGAGAAAGAGAAAGAGAAAAAAGAAAGAAAAAATAAAAATAAAGAAAGAATAAAGATAGAAAAACGAGATAGATAAACAAATAAAGCAATAAAGAAACAAAAAAAGGAAAAGAGATAGATAAAGAAACAAAGAAAGCAATAAAGAAACAAAGAAAGAAGGAAGAAAAGAAACAAAGAAACGAAGAAAAGAAAGAAAGAAAAAAGGAAAAAAAGGAAGAAGAAAAGAAAAAGAAAGAAAAAAGATAAAAGAAAGAAAAAAGAAAGAAGAAAGAAAGAAAGAAAGAAAGAAAGGAGAAAAGAAAACAGAAAGAAAGAAAAATAGAAAGCAAAAAAGAAAGAAAAAAGAAAGAGAGAATGAAAGAAAGAAAGAATGAAAGAAAGAAAGCAATATGATGAAGAACTCAACTTGCGTTCGCCAGGTGGAGGCGCTTGCTTGTCACCTCAGCTGTTTACTCAGAATTCACAAACGCTTTGATTTTTTTCCTTCTCTTTTTTGCGATATAAGGCTGGAAAGAAGCGATGCCAGACGCCCGTTGTTGCAGGCACTGAACAATACTTTACCAGAGTAACGATAATTCCCTGTTGATGCGGCGCTTATCGCAACGAAATTTGATTCAAGTTTAACGAAATGAAGGAGGGGGACCATAATTAATCAACAAAACCGTTATAAGTACGTACCAGTGTACATTAAAGCAGCGATAACGGATAACAATATGAAAACTAGTTCCCGCCCTACATGATCCGTCGTGTTTCCGCGCAGGGCAAGTGCCTGGGCCGTGTGGGCTTTTTCCCGTCCAAGTACGTGGCCAAGCTCCATCCGGGCGAACGGGCTCTGCAGGTGCTGCACTCAATACAGGTCATGGACGGGCAGGAACCCGTCAAGCTGCTGCGTGATCAGGTGAGACCTTCGGAGCCCTCGACACATTTTTATGCACTTGCTTTGAGAAGTTGCATACAGTGTAGGAAGTTCGGCTGCTTGACTCGCACTTACAATCGTCAGTGAGAGATGATGTGGCATGTACCACAGCTCTGTCACATTTTGCCTTATCATCTTTTTTTTATTGCGACATAGACTTGCCCTTAAGGCATAATATTTTGTGCGTATATAGGTGTTAAATATGCGCCATTAGGCAGGTGTGTATGAAGTGAAATAGCGTCTTCTCGAATGTGTTGTCATATATCATTCTCTTGAAGTAATCGATGACTGTCATCAATAAACGACGTCTTTTAATAGCAGGCAAGTGGCAGGCTACGTCTTTTTCCGCTTGGCACCCTTCAGTTCATCGTGAAAAAAAAAAGCTTTAGTACATAAAAAGAGAACATACTTGTCTATTAATGTAGTATAAGAACCACTTGAAGTTTCAAAGAAGGGTAATGCAAAAATATTAATAAATGGTTTCTTAACCACTTGTGCACAATAATCGAATGACCTCAGTATGGGTGTTTATCGCATCACTAATCGATTGCCGAAAAAGAAAAATCCGAAAAGGCGAAGAAACGAAAGTCGTTACAGGGATGTCTCGCATGCTTTAAAAGCTCTCTCATTATTCGTCCGTACGAACGCGCTCAAGGCTAGACGAGGGGGTTGGTGGGCTGTCGATGAGGCAAGAATCTACTACAGCGCACCTCGCGTTCACTCAACCTCGGTGCGATTCCGGGGCGCGGGAGTGTAACGACTGTGTATTGTTAACGAACTGTAGAGCACGACGCCGGCACGTGGCACCACCCCGCGGAAAAAAAAACGTGACAGATCCGATCGCCGCTCTTGATCCATGTCAGATATCGGCCAATAGCAGCAATCTGCTCTATGACGCAAAGGAGCCGACGCTGCAGCAGCTTCCAAGAGAGTGAGGATGGGCCCTCACTCTCTTGGAAGCTTGAGAAAGTGCATGGTAACGTGACGCTCCACTTTTAAACTTTACGTGCCGTGTATTATGGGAAAATATGGCTGAGCTATACATAGCTGTGTCTGTTGTTTTTTTTCTTCTTTTTTTTTTACCAAGCCCTAAGAGGTAGTTGAGGACTCCTTTAGGTTCATTGAAAAGCCGGCAAGAAGATGTAACCTCTTAATAATACTTAGGCATTCCCATTACTGCTGGTGTTGAAAAAGGCTTCTTATCAGTGTTCACTTTTGATGTGTTTAGCTTCGACTTGGCACTCACCAGTCGATCCAAAACTATGGGAATGCATCACATTGCATCTCGTCCTTCTCGTCTCAGATCGTGATCCAAGTGGCTGACGAGATGGACGGCAAGGTGTTGGTGCGAACGGGACTCGGCGACAAGGCGCTGCCTTGCCCACTGAAGTACCTACAGGAAGTGTGAACCATTTCCCTTCTGCCACACGCTTCCCCTCCACCGGATATAATGGTGGCGGCAGCGCGGGAAGGAAGCGGGGACCTTCCGGGAAGCTACGCGATTCACCATCGGCGCCAACTTCCTTTTCTCCGTGCACTTCCTTCACGCAACCTCGGAAGCACCATCTGCGGTCGTTCAAGCTCGGCGACACAGCAGGGGCAAATCATGACCGAACTGATGGACGCAGTCGCCGTAGCCGATCAGTGCGCACTTTGAAGGCATCTTCTTCACTCTTCAGCTCTCTTTTGCTTCATTTCCGGTTGTGTTTCAGTGCGACTTTCTTTCCCGTTTCCTGCAGCATGGTGCGAGTGACCGTGAAAGCTTTGCTCGAATAAGTCATCAAGGGTTTTCGCGTGACCTTCGTCGGCTCGGGAGAATGACTCTGTCCGCGTAAAGATGTCCCAACGATGAAAACGTTAGGCCTAATGGTGTAGGCGTTAGGCCTAACCCCGAAGGTGTTAGGCTTAACGAGAGAAAAACTCGGAGAGTTTATCGTGGCGCGACGCTGTTTTGAAGTTTGTGGTGGTTGTTGTCTGCTGAGAACGTGTATACTTATCCAACCATTCTTTTCTACCTCAGTGTTTTTCTTCAGTATCGCTGACTTCCCTGCAATACTTCTACACCTTCCTTTTTCTCTGCATTCGAGCGCGCATTCCAGTCCTTTAATTTATTCTAGCGGTGAAATCAGTTTACACGCGGCTCGCACTGTTGAAGTGACATTTCTGCGATTTCGGCACAAGCGAAATCGGCATCACAAAAAGCACCACATTCGAAAATCGTCCATATCTCCAAATTTCTATGTAGTGCCTCTTACAGAGTATTCCGATTTGCTCAGACATTGGCGCGTTAGACTCGCTAATGAGAAGCGCCACTTATTTACCTGTTCGTTCCCATAATCACTCTCGGCGAAAGCCGCAGCTGGGGCTACACGCATGCTTTACCACATTAAAGAACTGGAATGCGGTTTAATTATACGTGTCAATACGCTGCGCACTGTGATAGCAGGTGGCGTTGCATATGTTACGTCCTGATGACGTCATTTGTGTTTAGCATTTTAAATCATTTTTCTTTTGTGCTCCTGTTTTGTACTTCCCGACTCCCGCTGTAGCTGCAGCGCACTGTTTGCGTAAAAGTGCGCGTTCTTCTTTTGGTAATGAATACCTTTTTACTAAAAAAACAAGCCATACAAGCAGGAATTGGTGCAGTACTGGCAAGCAGCTGTGGTAGTTCGTCCTTCAGCAAACACCACAACGGTCAGCAAGCTTTAAGACGTTTACTCTTTGGGTACGAAATGTTATACGTCCATTCATAGACACCCGTGTGCAAAAAGTCAGAGGATCTTTTTAACTTTCACGCCAGCTGGTGAAATGAACGAGTCATAAAGCGTGCCCACGTACATTGTTGTTTAACGACAACATCAGTAGCAGGCTACTTGTAATCTTAGTTCTGAAGCGTAGTTTACAAAAGAACACTTGCATGCAGACACATACCAGCTAAATTTGCTTGAAAAAAGCAACGCAAGTCCCACGCCCCTACTGATGTGGCTTCAAAGCGACATTGCACTGACGCACGAGTGCCTTAGTTTACCGGTCATGCGTGAAAACAAGCCCTCGAACTTGTTTTGCGGTCAAAACAAGCGCCAACAGCACAGTCACTTCGACCTCGTTTATCGAAGGCTTAAGACAGGCAACGCGTTTACTACTGAATTTGCTGCTGCTGCCAGTACTAGCGCCACAAATGTCTCAGTTCAGTGAGGTCATTGTTTTTCTAGGCACATTGGTGACACGATCATCAGTGTTCAGCATAGCCCACGCTTCCTAGGCACCGCGACAACTTTTTTCGCAAGTCCTACTGTCGACACTGCGATTGTTTACGGATATATTCTCAGTATCGTGGTCACAGAGAGCTTTATTTCACGCCTGTGTTTGTTTCTTACCATTCACTTAATTTGCTTCAAACATCTCCACACCGCACAGGCGACTGCCTAAAACCACACTAGTCGACACCATCGTCTTCTCAATCTTTCACCGCTGTGCTCGGAGCTGTTGGTTGGCGGTGACGCTGTTCAAGCCGAAGCCACCCTTCTCGGTCATCCGCGTAGTATACCGACGATGTAGACTCTAATTTTTAGACGTAGTCGATGATTGCACGGGTGCAATTTGCGTAGGTCTTCATTGACCGTGCTCAGTGAAACGCTACTTGCCGATCCTGCCATGGACGCGATTTCGTCGAAAGCATTGGAAGTGTCGCTTCGGCAACTAGGCGAGAAGTTGAATGCGTTTCGGGTCCCGTTTATTTCAAATTGACTCTGGGTTAACCCCGGTAAGCTACAGAGCGCATATCGCCTTCGATACCAGCTTCTTTCTTTTCTCTCTTCGAGAGGAAATAAATTCCGAATCCGATTTGTTTCCGCGAGACCTGGCATTAGTAATGCGAGTTTCTGACGTCATCACTGTGCAGTACTCTCTAAAAAAAAATTTCCGCAGATGATAAGCATCGCGAGAGTCAGCTTTATGCGAAGTAGTGAGAGAGGAGCTGCCTCCGAGCATACTCACCGACTGCACAACATACAGCACACACGCTGCACTTTTTTCGGCTGTACGTGAGCCAAGCGTTACCAGGTGGAACGGCGTGTTTGGTGTAAATGGAGTGTGCATATCGTGGGCTTAACAGGCACACCGACTTCACCGGTGCCTAAAGGGTACCTTACGGCCTAGGTTTGCCATTAAATCCAGGCCAAAGCCTCACTTCCTCTGTCCGACGTATACAGTCACTAAATACTTTAAGGGAGAGTAAATTAGTCGTTTTGCACTATGGTACCGTTTCCTGGTGCGCTGTATGAATTGATGTTACCCTATATACATAAGAAAGGTACTGCGCCGAGCATGTAAGCTAGTTCGTCGAGTGGTGAGGGTATATAAGGCTGTTGAAGACGGTTTTTTTCGCGGGTTGTTCTTGTTGTGAACCATATTACGTATACTATAACAAATGAGCCCAAGGCTGGCATAGGCTGCTTGCACCCGAGAAGTGGGGCAGCTCCAGGATGCGATATTGGGCTGAATGGGTTGATAAGTTGGTTTGACTGCACACTTGAGCTCCTGAGGGGCGGTGGTGGTGGTGGTAAATATACACGCAGTTTTTCGGTCGGAACTCTACGGGTGCACGTGAGTTAGGAGTTCGTTTCGCTTCACGTATGCAAGAAGCACCGTTCACTTCAATTTTAAAAAAAAAAGTCTCCGAGAAGAAAAAAAGAGAGAAGAAATTGTGAGAAAAAACAGCCGCCAAGGTTGTTCATGAGCTCGGCATACAAATTCAATTTACTTACGATACTAGAAGTCTCATAACGAGACCGTAGTATGTGGTCATAAGATTACGCACAAATTACTATTTTACGTAGACAAGTACAGATCTTACTAAAGTCTAAAGCATGAACAATAGTTGAGATCAACACCAGTTGCAATAGCATGTACAGTCTAAACAAGTAAAAAAAATGTGTAAGTATGCACGATAGCTTGTCAGTATGCGAGTATAATAAACAGGTTTAATAAGAGTATTGACTACAATAATGGTATTAAAATGAAACAAGTTATAAAAATGGTACATTTCGTGTTACAACTCAGTATGGGCATTGCAATGTTACCAAACCTTGCACATTGCACATAAATTAAAACTTTTTCTGGCAACTTTGTTTTCCATAAACTTACTAACTTGGGAAGCGAAAATGTAGATATTTGTTTTGGTTCTTAATGACTGACAAAAGACCGAGTTTTACACACATGTCAAGAAATTGGCGTTTGACATCTGCAAGCTTTGGATATGAAGTTGGATGTCGAATCTGGCTTTACTGTCTTATTGTATTACTGAAAAAAAAATGCGTGCACCTGTTCTCACAGAGACAGAAGATTTGAAGGCATGAAAATAATCTTACCGCTTGTCACTTTGAGCTGGAAACCAAGCTGGACCGCACCAAGCAGCCATGCCAGCCTTGCCAGATGTAAATATCTTGTACATTTCGCTGCACCGCCATTTTTTTTTCTTCTAACATTGACGCACCACGCACTGAACTTAGTGAGACTCGAGAAAACCGTTGGCAACGCACGCGCATCGTTTGAACTCGTAACGCTGCGGAGACACGGCTATTTACCCGAGCTAGTTAGGGCCGTTCCACGCGCTTCCCGCACAGCCGCAACGCACGTGCCGGGACCCCTACCGCACGCAAGCGGGGGACAAGTGAGCCAATCGGCGACGCTGAGGGGACAAATAAGCCAATTGGCGACGCTGCGGTAGGTGAAAGAGCGTCGCCAATTGGCTTATTTGTTCCCTCAGCGTCGCCGATTGGCTCACTTGTCCCCCGCTTGCGTGCGGTAGGGGTCCCGGCACGTGCGTTGCGGCTGTGCGGGAAGCGCGTGGAACGGCCCTTACGGACTGTTTTATCGTAACGCGCACTGCGTCACCGTTGAACGTTCGCGAAAGTAAAAGGGACGCCTGCCTGACCACGCACCGCACATATCATAGTTCGGGAGCTCTCGTGCATTGTCCGACGTTACAGTTTTCCCGGCAACTCGATCGATGTTAGTTGTTTCGATCATTCACTGGGACGACGCGAATAACTGCGCAAATAACAAAAAGTAGGTGTGAAAATATCGCACGAAATATACAATCGATGTAAACCGAGAACAAATAACGTCAGTCGGGAAATGCCAGTAACGTACATAACAAAAAAGCATGTTTCGTCAAATATTGAGCTGTTCATAAAAACTTTTCCGTATTAGTGTATTGCTGTTCAAGTTTGTCGCTGCTGCTTTTCCGGTTTGTCTGTTTGTTGTTTTCCTCGCTGAACCAAGTGGCTGAAATATAAGACATTTTCTAGCCGAAAAAAAAATTTATTTGGTTTTTATATAAAAACAAATAATCGTGTGTAGCAGAGATAGTTTCCACCTCAATAATCGGAGAATGGCGATCGCAACAAAATAGAAATTACTGTTCTTGATTCGAAATTTTGTTATTTTGATTCATGACACTAATCATTGCACTGCGTTAGTGATCCGTCGTAATAAAAAAAACATTGTAATAACTGTCTGTCACAGAACAGTCTAAAAAATTTCGGTCCTCGCATCACTGCGATAGAGTATGAGCTAAAATAATAATAATCGGTGCTTTCTTTTGCGACTTAAGTGTTGTTTTTCACCGACTTCCGTAAATAAAAAAAAAGTCGTACCTCAGGTATTTATAAACGCTGAGTCAAAATTTTCGGAGTCCTTCACGTCTCTCATAATCATATAATGGTTTTAGGACACTAAACCCCACATATCAATCAATCAGACATTTATAAAACAAAATAGTACTTTCTATTACCTCCTTTTTTTGTTTCAGTATTTTTTTTCTTTTTTTATGTCCCGAGTTGTTTGAATGACGCTTGATGTATATAATGGCTGTGTTTGTATTCCAATATTTTCACTGTTTGATCTACACCTAAAGCTCGCGGGGTTTTTTTGTTTTGTTTTTAGTACTACATTTCCACACTTTCCATGTTAAGGCTCCCTTGTTAGCCTTGGTTTTTGACTGTCACGCACTGAAGGATGTGACAGTGAGTCATCCAATTTTTATATGCATTTCGCGAACAAAAAGAAGTTTCAGAGAGTGCTGTTTTTTTTCGTTTTTTTTTTATTTAAACTGTGTACTTACGTTGCTGAGGAAGCTAAAACCTTTGGACAAGCAGTAGCTTGTCAACGATAACACTTCCTTTTGCCAACAAAAGAAGAATGTCT